CAGTCAACCTGACGAGGCTTGCTGCAGTTTCACGATGCAGTTATATCAAAGGAAAAAGGGGAATTGTTCAAATCAGTGAGCTCCGAAAGTTACTGGCAATCTTGTGCCAGCAAGAGTACGTACATATGCGAGTGTTGTGCCTGCATCAGTTTGTTTGTTGGATGTCTGTGGGCAGGTGACAGAGTGTTTTGCTGGTTGGAGTGAGCGGTATTCCCTGACTGTTGGCTAAGTGCACATGGCTGAGGTGTAGTCTAGAGCCTCCGTTACTATAACAGCAGATTGATCACCTCTTTGGATCTGCAATTTGGATATGGAATTGCAGGTCAGGCATGGTGGGAGACAGTTTGGGGTCGGGGAAGATTGCTCTGGATGAGAGTCAGGGCCGGATTTAGGTTTGATGAGGCCCTAAGCTACTGAAGGTAATAGTGCCCTTTATACGTCCAGCTGTCCTTTCTCAACAACTAACTGTCACTGTTTTTTTGTGTTGAATATGTGCTACAGTGGTACCTTGGGTTACCATACATACGCTTCAGGTTACAGATGCTTCAGGTTACAGACTCCGCTAACCCAGAAATATTACCTCAGGTTAAGAACTTTGCTTCAGGATGCGAGTAGAAATCGTGTGGCGGCGGCAGCGGGAGGCCACATTAGCTAATGTGGTACCTCAGGTTAAGAACAGTTTCAGGTTAAGAACAGACCTCCAGAACAAATTAAGTTCTTAACCCGAGGTACCACTGTATATGGCAATTTATGAAACTAATAGGTATCTAAAGCCATTTGCGCATATTGCCATGCAACCAGTCCATGCAGAATGTAAAAAGATAAAGGTAAAGGACCCCTGATAGTTACGTCCAGTTGTGAACGACTCTGGGGTTGCGGCGCTCATCTCGCTTTACTGGCCGAGGGAGCCAACGTTTGTCCACTGGCAGTTTTTCCGGGTCATGTGGCCAGGATGACTAAGCAGCTTCTGGTGAAACCAGAGAAGCGCACAGAAATGCTGTTTACCTTCCCGCCAGAGCGGTACCTATTTATCTACTTGCACTTTGATGTGCTTTCGAACTGCTAGGTTGGCAGGAGCTGGGACCAAGCAATGGGCGCTCACCCTGTCGCAGGGATTCGAACCACCAACCTTCCCATTGGCAAGTCCAAGGCTCAGTGGTTTACACCACAGCACCACCCGTGTCCCGTGCAGAATGTAGGCACCCTATATATAGAAATGAGCAAACCAGTGATATTTTAGGGAGCAGACTGGCAGGCAGGACCCATTACTTACATCATAGGAGCGTACACAACACAAAACACTGTTGCTGTATGTAGGTTTTATTTTATTTGTTATTTTATCTTATATTTTGGAAATGTACATCCAGGTTTTTTTTCTTTGTTTTTTTGGGGGGACGGTCCAAGAGAGTGGGGCCCTAAGCTATAGCTTGTTTAGCTTATATGTAAATCTGGCACTGATTAGAGTTGTAATGAAATCTTCTGCCTGGCAGCGGAAGATGGGCCTAATACTGGAAGCTGCAGCTGTTGTTGTTATTAAATTTATATACCCACAGGTCTCAGGGTGGTTCACAGTTAGCGCAAAATGCGTCAGTCACTTACGGACTCATTGTTAAAACCATGTTTGTGGGACACAATCTTACTCGGCTACGAGTGATTGCCAAAGAAGAAGAAGAAGAGTGTACATAGGTGAAGCAATCCCCATATATCCATCAAGACTTTCTGTTTCCCTCTCTCACTCCACCTGGCAGAACTTGGCAGTGGTGCCTCATCCATTCTTATTAATCTTTATTTTGTTATTAGTGTATAGCACTAAACTTACCGGGTAATTCACTTTTGGTTTTAAATCCTGGAATTCCACTAAGCTGGATAAGAAGAGGGTTGATTTAGGCTGGAAATAAACACCATTCCATCTTTGCTACTGAAATTTTGTGTTCTGCAAAATCCCAATAAAAGATTGAATAGAGTTAAAAGGAAATGTTTACTCAGAATACTAGAGGTGTGTTTCATTTGCAGCTGTGACAGCTAAGTGATAAGATGCGAACTCCCATCCACCTTTATAAAGTGCCTGTAAACAGACTTTAGTTTTGTTCTCTCTAATGAGAATCCTGAATAATTTGTCACATGTCTGAACATAGTAAGTTAGATATTAGAAAAGGCTCTTCGGACACATCCATCACTCTCTTCTGATCACCCTCCATCAAGACAGCCTTGCTGGTTTATCCCTTAGCAATGATGAATATTAATGGATCTTGAGTCAATATTTTGATAAGATTAGAAGATAAAGCACAGGGCTTTTTACTTCCAAAACAACATCCCATTTTGACCTATAACAAGACTTCATAAGACCTAATGGGAAGTATCAGAGGACTGTGGGCACACAGAAGGATTTGTACTTTTGAAATATGTTTTTGGTAAACATCTTCTTCTTTTTAACCTTTAAAAACCTAAAATACAGGATTAGAGGTGTGAGCTCTCAAAATGTCATGTACACCTTTCTTCATAGGATGTATTGACGGAGCCATTTTGTCCAATATGAGGGGCGGGCGATATAACAGCTCTCTTTAATCATTCTGGATTATAGGCAAGAGCTGCAATGTGTTTATCTGAAATAGGCAGCCGTAATAAGCTTCTTTCTGTGGGAACGACATACTATGTAGTTCTTGAGGTGTTGGGGTCTTGAGCTGCACAAGGCTTTATAGGTCAAAAGCAGCACTTTGAATTAGGCCTAAAAATTAAGTGGTGGCATGGGCAGCCTGACCGAGATGGATGCTATTTGCCCTGGTGAGCAACCTGACAGCCCCATGCAGTCATCTAACCTAGATATTACCAAAGCATAGACAACAGAAATTTAGACTATACCTGTCCAGACATTGGTGTAGCTGGGCAACCAGCCAAAGTTGATGGAAGGCTGTTAGCACCACCAAAGCCGCTTGAGTTTCAAGCGACAGTGATGGATCCAAAAGCACCCCAAAACTACCCTTCAGAAGTGTAACCCCATGAAACATGCCTTCCCCACTTGTCTGCTCTAGGAAAGTACCTTCTAATTGTATGTTGTGGGATGTGATCCATGAGAAGTAGTCAAGTTCAACATTCCTTGTAATACTAGAGAAGACATGCAGGGGAGTGTTTAGTCCAGCCAGTCGAAACTTCCTGTTCCTTCTGGATTGAGCATCCTTCCTTTTGCATGTGATAGGAGGGTGTGACCTTACCTGTCCAGGTAATAAAAGGACGAGTCATGCAGCACACTTTTTTTTTTTACTTCCTTCTTCGTTTGACCAGCTTTCAGCTAGGACTGCTCTGCTAGCTCTCAGCTAGCAGAAGCACTGGGATTATTCCCCCATATGGGGTAGATCCACATGTACATATTTGTAACTAAGTCTGCCTTCAGGAATCCAACTGTGAACTGATGTGAGTGTTTTATTGACTTTGAATAAGATTGTGGCATCTTTATTTTTTAAGAGGGATTCAAAGGAACTTGCCAGGAATGTACAGTTTAACCTGAGACAGATTGAATTGTATAATAGTGAGAGGCCCACACCAGCCTGCAACCAGCTATCTGCTGTGCATGTAAAAAGGGGAAAATAACTCTGCTACAGAAAGGAACTTGCCAGCGCAAGTTAGGAAGGATATTAATAAACAATATATCCTCTCCTGCCACCCTGACCATTCCTACATATTTGGATTAAGCTTCAGTTTATTGCCTCTCAATCAGTTCCATTACTGAGGTCTGACATTGGTCACAGAGTTTCCCAAACTTGGGTCTCCAGCTGTTTTTGGACTACAGTTCCCATCATCCCTGATGACTGGTCCTGCTAACTAGGGATGGTGGGAGTTGTAGTCCAAAACCAGCTGGAGACCCAAGTTTGGGAAACCCTCGTCTAATACAAGGGTGGGGAACCCTTTTTTTTGGCTCAGAGGGGTGAACTCAAATGTGGCAACCTTTGTGCATCACATTCCAGCAGTGGGCATGGCCAAAGATGAAACAATAAATAAAATTCCCTCCCGTGGAATAAACATAAAATTAAACTGTAAAGAAAAACAATGTCTGCCAGTGAAAGAACAGTCTTCTGAATATCCACCTTTCACCTCACCTACTGCTATGGTCACTAAAAGCCTGCCTGGGAGGTGATTTTGCCTCCCAGCCCACTGCCCACTTGCATGGCTTATTCTCCTCAGTGCTCACAAGCAGCCACTGACTGACAGCTGTCTCCTTCCCAGACACAAGCAGCAGATCTGACAGAGCACTGGATGAACTTGGGAGAGATTGTCTGCTTCTGGTTGCTAGGAAACAGTAGCATGTAGACTCACAGGACTACTCTTGAGAAAGAGAGGAGTGTGGAAAGGGCACAGAATTCAAACAAACCCTCTGTCAAAATCAGAACGTAACCACAGCCAGAAGCACAACTGGGGAAACTCAGCCAAATGAGTGGGGTATAAATAATAAATTATTATTATTATTATTATTATTATTATTATTATTATTATTATTCCTGTCCTTCCCTTCTATGTTTATCGCAAGCTCAGGTTACAGCAACTACAATTAACAAAGAATCCGGAAGTGTTTCAAATGTAAATGTCCTTAATTGGTGCAATTTCAGTCACAATTGAGCTTAGCAAACCAGCAACATGATGCATCTGAAGTCTTTCTGATACCTGCGGACAACAGACAACCACAAAACAGCGCAGCATTCAAAAGTTTCTTTGCAGATCCAAGCAATTGCAGCTGTAACTGTGGCTGCAAGTGAAAGTCCTGCAAGAATCCGGCAGCTTGCAAACCCCAAGGCTTCTTGCTTTGAATGCATGGCAGAGCACATAGGTGCCAACTCTGGGATCCCTGGGGGCCCTGGTCAGTCAGCCCATTGTAGCCAAGTGCATGATGTCACACGGCACTCCAAGGCCTGCAGGGCTCACTGCAGCTTCAGGAGGGTCCAATGGGGCCCATCATGGCGTGTGACATCATGCACACGCCAAGTGTGACATCACTTGTGTACGCCGGGCAACCACAATATGGTGCAGAACCTGGCGTGGCTGACAGGGCACAAGCCAAAGGAGCCATATTGAGCAGGATTCAACCCCTGCTCCCCAGCTGGGGTGGGTGGGTGTGCGCGCGCGCAGGCTGGGGAAAGACTTGGGGGGAGGCAAAACTGAATGCCACCCTCCCGACCATCAGCTGACCTGTCGGCTGATTGACAGGTCATTGTGGCTTTGGAGGAAATGGCCTCTTGGGTCAAACTGGACCCCAGCCAATTACATCCCCTGCCACAGCTACAGATATAAAGGAGTAGAGTTGTGTGTGTGGTCAGCATATTGCTGACAACACGCTCCAGAACTCTGAATGACAAAACTCTTGAATATGCATGTATAAATGAGACCATAGATTTTAAAAAGAGTTTGGTCCAGATCCAGTCATGCTTAGAGTACAACTGTTTAAATCAATAGGACTTGGATATTCTGTCATGAATATCTTGCCCAAATGATTTTAGTGGGTCTGTTCTAAGCATGAGTAAGGCAGAATACAGCCAAAATAATACAGAAGACACATTTTTAAACTCCATTTTGGTGCTGGAACTAAGGTGGGCCCTGGGTCTGAAAAATTTATAAGCCATTGGCTTATAGATTTTCACTGACGCCTAGCCACATACAGTGATGCTGTAGCAATTTTGCAATACCAATTATAGCTTCATGTTTCATTTTGTTTTAGCTGCTGTGTACCAGACTGAGCCTATTCACGCATGACCTTCTGAATATATGGAATCCCACATTCGCTATTGCTTGCATTTACAGTGAGCTAGTTTGCACATGACATTAAACCAGCTATGGAGAAGATATTGCAGATTTCCACCAAACAAACCACAAGCTGTAAACTCAAGAACAAACCTTGGTTACAGTTTGTGGTTTGACTGGAACAAACCAAACCATGGATTAGTCCAAAGCAGTGCAGTTACAGCAGGCCCATGGGGGGGCCACAAATTCTTCAGGATCCTGCATACTTTCATGTTCTCACTCATCAATATGAACCAGCTCAATGCTTGCCAGTGGTAATGCAGAGAAGGGTTCTCTATTGCATTCACATTTTGTCCATGTATTCAAGTCTTCCTCTGAGTGTTTTACTGTCCTAGACTGAATCTAGAGTATGTGTTGGGACAACTTTGAAATAAGTAAGTACTTTTTGCCCTTCTATTTATATAAAACCTTCTTATTTCTTATGTATAATGTTGAAATCAATTTCATAGACTATGCTCCTGTACACTTCAATTCCTCAGAAATGTTTAATATTTTCTTCCTTAGATCTATATGGACAGGCTATCACCACTTCAATCTTGAATGGCTTCTCTGAAGATCAATTCCATTCTTGGGAAAGGTCATCTGAAGCTAAAACACTGATAACCTTACCTAAGAAATATTAAATGTCGATGTGAGGTTATTTTTCTTTTTTCCCAAAACCCGAAGAGAAGTGTCTCTGTGTTTATATATATATTTCATCAAAAGATATACATTTCGGGATGTGCAGTGTTTTCTTTTGAATTACAGACTGCCATTTCAGATTGAATGGATCCAGCACGCACCAGTTTCCTTTTGAGTATGAAGTTAAATTGAATTGGCTTCCAAAACAAGATATTGCAAACCATGTGTAGTGAACTTTCTCATATCCCACTTCTAAAATGTAAAGTTGTGTTGTGAACTAGCCAATGGATTGAATAATTACTATCAGACTGAACGATTTAAACAAGCAAGCCTGAATGCTCTGTGCTTCTCTGAAACACAGTTAACAAAACATTTGTGAAAAGAAGCAAGCTAAACGTCTTTGCAAGCTTGGGATGAAGAAGCGAATAGGGATTTTTCCAGACATTACCAGGATTTCAAAGGTGGAATTGACGTCCAGGGGGAAATCGTGTGATCCTAAAATAAGCTCAACAGTTTTGAGGTCTTCCTAAAAAAGACTTCAACCAGGGTGTCCTGGTTTTCACTTTTTGAAACATGGCAACCCTAGGAGAGAAACATAACCGCACTGTGTTCATGATTACAAAATGTGTGTTAAAACAGGAAACTACTTTGTATGTTTTAATTTGGATAGTTTTTCATAACTAATTAAATATGATATCCATAAATAGCTGTGCAGGCTGCAATTTTGAAAAATGAATCACATATTCCCACTGCCATTAGAGAAGCCTTCTTGGAAATCCTTTATTGTTGGAAGTCATTATTAGCCAATGTGGCAAATACTCAATGTTCATTGCTTAGGGTGTGTGATAATGGAAGCTAAAGGGGTGTAGGATTTGTGCAGCCCCAGTTGCTCAAACCCGTTTCACCATTTTGACCACGTTTATTATTAACTCTTTGGCTCGCCAGAAACTACAAGAGACAGCCCTGATATTGCCATCTTCATCCCTTGAATTTGCTTCTAGACAAATAAAGAAGGTCTGTATATATTTGTTTAGACAGCATGACAAAGAACAGGGTGGTCTCTGAGTATATTTGTTATCTCCTTGCGGTTATTGCCAAAAAGAAGTTATTCTTTTGCATGTGTAGCATAAGCTTACTTGTTTCCTTCCTCTTCAAAATAGCTTAGGATATTCCTCCTGTCCTTTGCAAAAAAGAAGTCTAAACTGTATGAAGTCTGACCATTTCAACTGCCATTTTGCAAGTCGTCTTCCAAACTGATTCATGTTCATGTATTTACAAGACATTAATTCCACCTCTTGATTTTTATTTACTGGGGACAGCGTCCCCCCTGCCCCGCTTGGCTACGCCCATGGGGGGCACAGGAAGGAAACAAGGCTGGAAGGGGGCCACAGTCGGAAAAAGTTTGGGAAAAACTGATCCAACACACTGTTGGGTTGAATTCAATTGCTGTTCTCACGCTATTCTTATCTAAGAAATGGAAAGATCCATTGGCCTGATTAATCATTAAAGTAGCTCCCACAAAGGAAATCTATATTCTGCTCTCTGGAGAGCGGATTCAGGTTTTAAGGAAGAACATATAATGAAGTTGAAGGGAGCAGTCAGAATAGTGTAACAGTGTCGGAGATGTGATGACAGGAAAGGATGACAGGATGATCTGTTTCTCAACAAACATGTATTGATATACCCCCAAAGCATCCCAATCTGCTTTATGATTTGATCCCTACACTGAGCCAATGAACATCCCTAGTATTTAATATTCACGTGGATATTAAAAAGGTATTGTGTAGAATTGTGGACCAGGATCTAGAACACCTTCCCCACCTCCCAGATGTTGTTGAATTACAACTCCTATCAGCCTCAACCAGCATGCCCAATTGTCACGATTACAGACCCTCCAAGTGTCCCTATTTTCCAGGGACAGTCCCAGATTTGCAGAAGCCGTCCCAGTTTCTGATTTGATCCTGGAATAGCCTCCTTTTCCTTAGGATGTCCCTATTTTCATCAGAGAAATGCTGGAGAGTATGGAGTTATGTGACCGGCTCACCAAGCCAAGGAGATAAGTACAACCTCTAGAAGACATCTGAAGGCAGCCTTGAATAGGAAACATTTTTATGTTTAATTTTTATTATGTTTTTATATATGTTGGAAGCTGCTCAGAGGGGCTGGGGCAACCCAGTCAGATGGTTAGATGGGCAGGGAAGAAGAAGAAGAAGAAGAAGAAGAAGAAGAAGAAGTAGTTATGGAATAGGACACCACTATTTTCATCAGTGAAATTAATGTTGGAGGGTATGAGATTATAGGAGTTGTAGACCAAAAATCTTGAGGGCATAGAGCTATTGAAGTCTGATCTAGAGGGACAAGCATAATCAATTGACCACCATACTTAGCCTTCCAGAAGACAATCACTTAAAAAGTGAAGGAAATGTATGAGGCTGCCTTATTCTGACCAAGCCATTGGGATATCTAGCCTACAAACAACATTGCATGCCAAGCTTAATGGGAGTTCTAGTTCAATAATATCTGAAAAGCATCTGGTTGAGGAAGGAACTCCAGAACCTGCTCTATGATTCTAGAATAATTCATATTTTTTTATTCCTGTAATCAACTTGAAATACTTATCAGGTAATGACATTTCTGCTTTCCCCAATGTTCTATATATTAAAAGTAATTTTGCCGAGGATCTTAGAAAATGCTCAAGTGTGTTTGATTAGTAGAATAAAATTGTGTTCAAAGGCTCGTTTCTTCGTGGCTACTTATTTGTGTTTTATGGTTTTAATTATACGGGGTAATATTCATACGTTTGGTGATACAATTATCAGAGGTAGAATGGAGCTAAAATAATTAATGGTCTTTGGGATTATTCTATTATAAATTCAACATTTGTATCTGACATTAATTTTAGGAATCACCTTTAGTTGCACCGCAGTATTTTTATTACACAAAAAGTAGAAGTTACATTTCATTGTTAACTGGCTGTTACATGACAAGTAAACAAGTTTAATCGTGTTATTCACCTCATTTACTTTAATGATTCAATAATAGATGTAACAGGAACCTCCGGACCAGATGGCACAAGAGGAAAAATCTTCATGAACTGAACTGCCCACTTTTTCATCTCAAGTATCAGATAAATATATTTGTTCCCTGTTCTACAAAGTCAGGTTTTCGCACCAGCTGCCAAGTTACTCCAACCTGAAGCTGCTGTCTTATATAGGCTTCTTGCAGTGACAAGTCCAGATTAGAAACCATTTCACAATTTCTCATTTTTTCCCCCCAAAGTTGCTACTCAAGAGGTCAATGATCTGAAAGGAGATGGAAACTTTCTTATATTTGTTGGTGGTAGTGAGGTTCAGCAGTTCCTGTTCAATCCCTCAGGCCATATCCCTAAATCTGATGCCATTTGAAACATCGATTTCTTTCTTTCTTTTTGCATTTCCCTCTGGTGTTATTTCTTCAAACTCCTAATGAAGAGAGGTTTTGAATTTGCTTATGCAAACCATATATTTTGCTTTACCTGAGCAACAATGGCATGTAGTATAAACACAGACAACTGGGAAACACTGGCTTGCGAGTGCTCCAATTGGAGAACAGCCTTTACCAAAGGTGTCATGGGCTTTAAAGACGCTCAAACTCAGAATGCAAGGGAGAAACGTGATAAGAGGAAGGCATGTTTGGCAAACCCTCACCATGATCAACTCCCGCCCAGAAACCTATGTCCCCACTGTGGAAGGACCTGTGGATCCAGAATTGGCCTCCACGGTCACTTACGGACTCATTGTTAAAACCAGGCATAGGCAAACTCAGCCCTCCAGATGTTTTGAGACTACAATTCCCATCATCCCTGACCACTGCTCCTGTTAGCTTGGGATTATGGGAGCTGTAGTCCCAAAACATCTAGAGGGCTGAGTTTGCCTATTCCTGGTTAAAACCGTGTTTATGGAAGACAATCTTACTCTTACTTTGATTGCCAAAGAAGACCAGGTATACACTAAAAGTTTAGACTGCCAATTCAGTTTATTGACTCATGCTGTGCCCCCCTTTTTTTTACAAAGTTCTCTTTTCATAGGAAAAGCCAATTTGGGGGGGCAAGGGTTATATGTCTGCCAACTTTTGCAGATCTGTAGCTGCAGCTTTCACCCTGATGCAGCTCTGGTTGTGCGTAGAACCCGTGATTAGCTGGTGCCGAATGGACTTTAAGATGTGCATTAAGTTTTTCACTTGAATCCTTATCATCCTACTGAAAGTCATCTCGTGTGTCAGAGTGACATCTGCATCCAGATACACTTCTGGATAAGGAAACCGTCCTCCTGCACTGCATTATTTTCAATGGAATGTGCGTTCAGACGCAACAATACAACTAAGTGTACCTAGAACAGAACATGGGCACCTAGTTGCCTTGACAACAGCATGTGTTCCCATTTCCCTTCTGCAAAAGGTCGCAAAACTCCCCTAATGCAGGCAAAATGAGCCTTTCCTTCATTCATCTTAGCATCATTATGGGCACAGACACATTTTTTTAAAAGGAGCAAACTTGAGTTATGCCTTCTAAATACAGTGGTACCTCGGGTTAAGAACTTAATTCTTTCTGGAGGTCTGTTCTTAACCTGAAACTGGTCTTAACCTGAAGCACCACTTTAGCTAATGGGGCCTCCTGCTGCCGCCGCGCCGCCAGAGCACGATTTCTGTTCTTATCCTGAAGCAAAGTTCTTAACCCGAGGTAATATTTCTGGGTTAGCGGAGTCTGTAACCTGAAGCGGATGTAACCTGAAGCGGATGTAACCTGAGGTACCACTGTACTGCATTTTTTAAAAATTTGCCTTGAGACAGTCTTTAAACCTCCTTTGTTGACCACCAGCATTATGCTTTCCATTTTTAAGTTCAGAATAGAGTAGTTGCTTTGGAAGACGATAATCAGGCATCCGCACAACATGACCAGTCCAACAAAGTTGATGTTGAAGAATCATTGCTTTGACACTGGTGATGTTTGCTTCTTCTAGTCTGAATTCCAGTCTGCTTCTAGCCTGTCTCTCAACAAGTCTTCTGAAGCCCCATCTGCACGATAGATTTAAGCAATGTTATACCACTTCGCACAAAGAGTCCTGGAAACTGTAGTTTGTTAAGGGTGCTGAGAGTTGCTAGGAGACCCTCTATTGCCTTCACAGAGCTACAAATTCAGATATTCCCTGGGATGATGGATTGCTTGTTAGACCACTCTGAGAATTCTAACCCTGTGAGGACAATAGGAGTCTCCTAACAACATAACACCTTAACAAACAAAACGGTGCCTATAATTCTTGTGGGGGATGCCTTGTCAGTTTAAAGTGGAATGATACTGCTTTAAATGTGCAGTGCAAATAGAGATTTTCTCGCAATTGGTTCCTGTATTAGATTCCAATTGATTTTATGTATGTGCTTCGTTGTTTTAAACGAGATAGATAGATACAATTAATTTAACTGCTGTTATACGTATATATAACCATTCTATATATGCTTTTAATTTGCTTTGGGATGCCTCACAGGAAACAAATCATAAAAGAAATAACAGCAACAGCATGTTTATAATAGTGTTACTTATAAATGATTTGTTTATAATAGTGTTAATCAGTCCCATCATCAGGACTGATATTTATTAAATTGTCCTTGCTATCCTTGGGATGATGCCTGAGATTTTTGAATATGACATAAATCCCATATGGGGGAAATGCACAAATTTTGTT